GAAATGTTGCATTTGATTCCCTCATCCAGGTCATTTAATAGTGAATAGCTGGGGCCTAAGCATTGATCCTTATGGTGCCCCTACTAGTATCCTACTGTCACACATGGATAAATACCCACTTATTCACCACTCTGTTTCTTGACTGTTAACCGATTCTTGATCCATTTCAATATATTAGCCTCTGTCTCATGTGTTTTAAATTTACCTACAAACCTTTTATGAGGGACCTTATCAAAAGCCTTAAAATCTAAATACAGCACATCCACTGGTACTCTCTTCTTATTTATTCTATAGGTACATCCTCAAGAAACTCCAGTAGATTTGTGAAACTGGATTTGCCTTTCCTAAACCTATTCTGATTTTGTCCAATCCTAGTAATACTTTCCAAAGGTACTGAAATCATATCTTTTATAAAAGGCTCTTGCTTTTACTCCACTACTGAAGTTAGGCTAAATGGTCTGTAATTGTTTTTTTTCTCTTCCCCTCCCTTTTAAAATAATGGAGTTACACTTGCCACCCTCCAATCTGTAGGAACTGCTCCAGAAGATGACTACCAGTGCATCCAATATTTCCAGGGCCACTCTATTTTTAGTACTCTGGGATAAGGATTTCCAGACCCTGGTGGCTTGTCAGACTTTAACCCAATTACTCCAGCAGCACTTTCTAACTAATACTGATTCCCTTCAACTCTGCCCTCTCACTAGACTGTTGGTTCCCTAATATGTCTTCAAGGTTATTTGTACCCTCTTTTCTGAGGACAGAAACAAGATATCTGTTGAATTATTCTGCCTTTTTTTTTGTTGTTCTACTTTACGATTTTGCCAAATTTCTGACTGTAAAGGAACGTACATTTGTTTTCACTAATCTTTTCCTCTTCACATATTTATAGAAGCTTTAATGGTCTGTTTCTGTGTTATCGGAAATTTTACTTTTATTTCCCCTCTGGATCAATTTTATTTTATCTTATTCTGTTTTGCTGAATTCTAAAATGCTCTCAAATCACAGGCTTACAATTTTTTTTGTGGCAATTTTAGATGTCTCTTCTTTGGATCAAATACTATCCCCAATTTCTTTTGTAAACCATGGTTTCATCTTTTATTTTTGCGCTAGACGAAAATAATAACTCTGAAAATGTTCTATTCTGAAGGAGGGTCACTGGGCCTGAAACGTTAACTCTTGCTTCGGTCACTCTAGTGTTTGACAAGGTATTTATCAAAACTCAATTCCACAGCCACATCATATTGCTCAGTGACTGCCTTCAGCTAAGACTCAGTCCACATGGATTCCAACTGAAGTTTCATCCTTCAGGTTTTGAAGCAACCCAGGCTCACAGGTATCTCTGATATACAATGATCCTCAGACAAAGTTCTCGCTACATTCTGAGATCCATACTCTGTGCATATGGCTATGCATGGCACACTCTCGACCGCTCTTTCAATAAGCACCACCTGACATTGACTCAGACCTGCCCTGCACCCGCCCCAGTTCCCCTTCACGCTCCAGCTCATTCCATGTTCTAACAAGAAACTTCTTATTTTCTTTTCAGGCATTAATGATTGTAAGATGCAACAACTCAGATACCCACACCCCCCTGGAACCTCTCTCCCCTCCCTTTCCCTCTGCCTCCATCTTTTCTCCTAATTCTCCTCCCCAGTTCACATCTTGCTAACTCTACAGCCATGTCTCTGTAATTACAACTACTTACTAACTGTTTATCTCTATTTGTGCTGCTAATTCACCTACCTCATTGTGAATGCTCTGCAAGTAAAAGACACAAGGCCTTTAGATTTGTCTTTTTAACCTTATTAGTCATCATAGTTGTATTTTGTACCCTATCTCCATTGGTTTCTCGCCCTTGCTTTTTCTGACTCTTTTGCTTCTTACATTTCTTTCTTTTGTTTCTATCAGAGTTTATCCCTCTTCTGACTCCCTGCTCCCATTCCCCTGCCATTCTAGTTTAGAAGTCTCAATAGATTTCTTTGTTGATATTTCCCGAGGGCTGTTACCATATCCAAGGATATTATGAATTCGTGGCTGTGTTTTAAAAGCTACAAAAGTACTTTTATCCCCCCCCCTTTATTCATTCACGGGATGAGGGTGTCGCTGGCTAGGTCAGCATTGACTGCCTATCCCTAATTGCTCAGAAGGCAGTTCAGGGTCAACCACATTGCTGTGGATCTGGAGTCACACGAGGCCAGACCAGGTAAGGATGGCAGTTTCCTTCCCTAAATGGACATTAGTGAACCAGATGGGGTTTTCCCAACAATCGGCATTGGATTCACGGTCATCACTCGACTCTTCCAGATATTTATCGAATTCAAATTCTACCATCTGCCGTGGCGGGATTCGAACCCAAGTCTCCAAAACATTACCTGGATCTCTTCATTAACAGTCCAGCGATAACACCACTAGGCCATTGCCTCCCCACTTACCGCACTACTGTTGCCAAGTTCACATTTTGATTATCATTTTAAAGAGACAATGAGATTAACTGCCTTTAACTTGGTTCGAGTATGGAACTTTGTTTTAATAACGGCTTGAACATGAGGGCCTTTAAAACATTGAGTTGATGTCATGATTGGCAATGTTTTGTTCTCAGTATTAATTGTGCATGAATGAGAGTTCACTTAAAATTGTTAGTTTTTTTCCTCATCCCAATACAGACGCTGAAGTCTGTCGATAGTGGATACTGAGCAAATGCCTATGGAGATTACATAACGGTTATCAGGTGGCATGCTGGTAGAAAGTGGCTTGGAGGGGGCAAGAATTGGCAAGAGGTAAGTTGATGGTAAAGGGTAAGCTCAGCCAAACAGCCATCCATACAATTGGCCCAAAGTCCAAGAGAACCAAGGCAGGTCTCAGTACAACTCAGTACTCGCCCGCACCTTGGCCATAACAGTCTATTTCTGAGTTAGGCAGGATCAACTGACTGACCGAGCAACCAACCCGTAGCGATTGGAACCAGGTTGAGCTCATTGACTACAAGGTCATTGATTGCGGTTGATAATCTGGGCCAGTCAGAGAAGCCGTGGCCGACCAACATAACTACGAGATGAGACCCTCCTCAGTGGAGGCGACGGACCCCGAGCCAGCTGGCCACAGCCAGTGTGCAGAGATAAAGGGGCGGGGGAGGGTGACAGGATACGGGCCTGTGCGCCGGACACATGCGCGCAACACACATGAACAAAACCTGAGTACTCTTTAAATCAAGGCAAGTGTCCTGAAAAAGGAAATTTCCCCACTCAAACTATTTGCCACAGCACTGACAATTTGGCCCCACATTTTTCTTCGTCTCTTCACAAATGCTGCCTAACCTGCTGAATATTTACAAAATGTTCAGCTCATATACCAAATAATGGTGTCATTGAGTCATTGCCTAATTTCTGTCACATGTCTCTTTTAAAAAAAGAGGGAAAGTATTTACAAAGTGATAAAAATTCAAATCCATCTTGAATTTGGCAATTCACAGCCCAGCCCTTCCACATATCCTGGAGAACATGGAGCTATGTAAATTTACCAATGGGCCAACAAGTGCTATTGATCTCAATATGCTTTTGGAATTTCTCTATAGAGTGATTATCACACAGAAACATTTTTTTTGAAAAGTATGTATGGCATTGTCAATACAACATTATTTAAATGCTCATGCAACTAATGTAGCTTGATCAGCTCAACCGAGGAAAAATGAGAGTAAGCCTAATACAATAACGTAACAATAGGAGGGTTTTAGAAATTTATGTTAGCTGACGAATGAGATTATAAAGAAAATACTATTACCATTGTCCTCAATGCAGAATCTTCAGAATTTGATTAGCAAGGCTCACATCCTAGTATTAAAATCTTTATCATGTAAAACTGGTTATCCATCTTGTTTTGATTTTAATTACTATTCAGAGGGAAACTGTCTAGTAAACATTATAGCCAGAAGCACAACACAGATGATATTTATGACAATAATATAATTCAGAGTGAGGAAAATTTCCAGTGCATTAAAATTTGTGTTAATGTGACATCTAGCAAGTTCACACATGAAATATTTTCCCTTAAACTTCTGTCCATCACTGTTTAGCATAATCAGGTGTTTACGCATTTAATATTCTTGAAAAGTTGTGGCTGAAAATAAGGTGGTACTAGTTGATAGTTTTTAAACGTGCCTTTCAGAAATGCATTGCACACGACACCAGTGGCAGAAGAAAAGCAGCATTGTACTTTACTTAAGCTGCTCAGTCTATAATGCAATTAATCATTGCATAAATACTAGCAAATACTCTCAAAACAAGCAATTGAAAAATGTGGCATGCATTTTTAAAGAAAATTTCACTCAGTTAAAAGTTAACATTTAACATTAGCTAACCTAAACAATTCAGTTAAGCGCTGCTTGGCACTTGACCTACTATGTGAATTTCACTATTGGTGTGCTGGTCTATTTTGCACTCCAAGTGGCCCTTAACCACACTCAACCAACATTGGCCCAAACTCCCAATGCCCAAAACACCCTATTGAAATCCAAAATCTAGCACAACCTCAGGGCTGCCAGATCTAAGAGAATTTACTTATATAGATAAATACAATATATATTTGTGCTCATGACAGTGACAATATTTTGTCACAGGCCCTGATAAGAGCTCCAGGCGGTTCAGTGACTAGAGGTAGAAACTCATTCACTATTCCAGAAACGAAACTTCAACTATCTAGGCACCTCCGCCTCACACAAATCCTGCTAGTCAACTTTGCAGCAAGGGAAATCAGGTTCCTTCACTTAGTGTCAGCACTGAATGCTAAACATCAACATCAAGATCAGTTTCTCTCAGAATTGTTATGAAGCAGAAGAAAGCCATTGACCCATTACTTGCTCTCCAAATGAGCATTATGACTTAGTGTAATTTTCCTGCCTTTCCCCCATAAACGTCCACATAATTCTACTGTTAAATATGAAGAATTTTCTTCATGTTTTATTCACAGAAAGTCCAAGAACTGTCACCTGTTGTGTGCCAGCAATTTCAATGATTTCTTATGATGGCATAGAATTCATAAATCCTACCTTCAGGAGGTCTCAGTGCCTTTTTATTTTGTGAACACCACCCAACAGGGTGTAAATCAGCAGTCATGACATCACACCAAAAATCTGCCCTGCGATCATCTCCATATCCACTGTAGCGCAGGAGTAAAAGCTGACCACATGTGGTGATGATTGTTGCTACCCAATAGGTGTCAGGATTATTTTTATTTGCAACTTCCAACTTCATCCCTGGCTGGAAACTACTCTGAAGGCTGATCTCAACCTGCGATAAATAAAAAAAAAGCCAATGATTTAATAAGTTAATCATAACTAATTATGTTCAGTCTCAGTTTATCAGACAATGGCTAAGGACAACAACCCACAAAATACTGCATAATATCGATAGAATACAAACAAACCTCTCCATCCAAATGATCAATGTTGATATTTATTCTCTATCCGAACCTCCTCGCAACCTATATCATGAACTTTGATCAACACACCCTCTAATTCCTTTCTCTGGCATGTACTAATTGGGCTTAACCAAAGAGGAATGCTTTTGTCTCAGAAGGTTGTATGTCTTTGGAACTTCTTGCCACAGACAGCTGTGGAGGCAGAGGCCTTGTGCATATTTAAGGCTTGGACGGACAGACAGATAGATTCTTGTTCAGTTGGGGAATCAAGGATTACAGGGAAATGGCAGGAAAGTGGACGTGAGGATTGTCGTATCAGGCATGATCTTGTCAAATGGCAGAGCAAGCTTGAGGAGCTGAGTGGGTTACTCCTGTTCTAATTTACAACAGTCTTAACCCTAAATGCGTTAATGCTAGTCACCTAAACCACTCCTTGTAGTACTTAGTTCCACATCCTTATCATGGATGAAGAAAGTTTCTCCTGATTTTCTTAAGGATTTATCACACACCATCATCTATTTCAAGGCACTAATTCTTGGCTCTCCCCAAATAGTCATCTTCTGTATGCTGATGTTATTAAACTTTTTTTTAAAATTATCTTAAAAGACCTCTACCAGGTCACTCCAGTCTCCTTTTTGAAGAAAACAGCTCCAGTCTGTTCAATGTTTCCCATATATGTGATGTCTCAGTTATTACACTAATAACTTTGTTTTGCACCTTCTGCAATGTTTCTATGTTCTTTTTATAATATGGAAATGAGAACAGTTAACACGACTAAGGTCTGATCTAACCAAGGCTTGTGTAAATTTAAACAAAAAGAACTGCAGATACTGTAAATCAGAAACAAAAATAAAAATTGCTGGAAAAGCTGGGCAGGTCTGGCGGCATCTGTGGAGAAAATTCAGAGTTAATGTTTTGGGTCGAGGGACCCTACCTCAGAACTCCTGCTTATCAAAGACTTCTAATAATCTGGAGACATTACATCTGTGCCACACAACTGTTTAGCAATTTTCTCTTCAAATAATTCAATATGGTTTGTCAAGCATTTTGAGGCCAAACAAAGAGAGATCCAATAAGAAAAACTTAATTATGGAGTTTAACCTTAATAAAGATGGTGACTTAAAATCAGTTTTTAATGTAGTAGTTGTGCAAGCTACGTATGGTAACACCTTTTGACCTTACATTATATTGCAATATACTCATTAGGTTCTGGATAAGCCTCAGTAACCAATATGGAGCCACTGGAACCCAGAGCATAGTTGAATAAACTTTCACAAAAAGATTATATATAAAGTATTAGCTCTAGTTCCACATAGAAAATCCACAGTTCCAGAAAATGTGACTTGAATGCGAACTAGACAAGCTAGTTTTAAGCTTCCAAAGTACAAGTGATAGCGATTTTCAAATGAAAATAAAATTGAGTATACACTACTCTGCTTTTGACTTTTAACAGGATGGGTGCTCAGTTAACAAGGCCAGGGTTTTTGTCCATTGTCATTTGCCCTAGAGAAGGCTGTGGTAAATTCTCTTCTTGAATCATTGCAGTCCATGTAGTGCAGGTAAATCCTGCTGTTAGAAAAGGAGTTCAAGGTTTTTGTCCCAGCAACAGTGGAGGCATAGTAATACAGTTCCAAGTCAGGCTGTTACATAACTTGGAAGGGAGCTTTAAGGTGATACTAAGGAAACCTTAGGGAGTGGATGCAGTGCATCTTGTAGCTGGTACACACTAATGTACCAGCTAGAGGGAGTAAACATTTAAGGTGATGAATGGGTTGCCAACAGACAGCTGCTTTGTTCTGGACGGTGGGACAGCTTTGAGGGTAAGCAAAAGTACTTCATTAGTTGCTGTCACTTCATATTATGACAACACCTCACCATCCAGTGCTCAGACCAAGTAAATCAATTGATCAGTTTATGACGCAAGCTCAGAATTTGCTCAAATATGCAGACAACACTTAGCGCTGCTGTGCTGGGCAACATAAGCCACTCTCTATTTTTACAGCTCTTACATATTAGTACTGCAGAGCTATTGTATTGGAAGTTAAGAAAGATAATGTGGTAATTTATAGTCATGACTTTCTGGCATTCTCTCCCTTAACTGAACTGCAGGACACTGCTGTTTCGACTTCAGTACTGGAAGACATCCTATTGGCCCTGCAGCTTCAAGATCCTGCCAGTCTTGTTTGTGACCCAATTTGATTGTAAAATTCAGTCCCTATTATCTCTTACAATCAAAAACTTTATTTTGGGCCTGTAAACACTATACATCCAAAGTATCTGGAAAGTTTCCAACATATCAGAAAATCACTTAAAGGGTATTGTAAAAAGACTAAAAAGACAAAATCAATATGGTATTACAGTTGATTTCATTTTCATGACATCCTATTGTTTGTCTTAATTTTATTCCCCATTTTAACAATCCTGAATAGACACACAAAAAAAAAACTGTTTACACAAAAATGAATATATTTAGTTTACTCTGCTATTGCCAAATTTTTGATTAGTAGTGTGTACACAGAGCTTCAAGCGTCACTTAGTAAAAAATAGCTCAATTGATCCCTGATGATCTACTTTAAGGCTGTGAATCATTCAATTAAACAGCTTGTGTGCAAAAACCCACAAGACTGAAGCTTCCACAATTATCCACAACCAAAAGGCTACCTTGAACACACTATCAGCCATTTGATATTTCAGCTGATAGTTACATTAAAAAGATAGATAAATACATTTTAATAAATAAATTAAATGTTGTTTGTAGTTATAAACCTTACATGCCAAGTGCAGGAGGGGAAGTACCACGTTGGTGGTGCAGTAGTTGAATATACATGATACAATTTATGACTACATTATTACAAGCAGAATGTTAGTTTTCAGCAGATTACTAGAAAATTAAATGCATACTACATTACTCTTTGGCCCTCGAACTATAAATAAGGTTGACTGTACTTTTAATTACATCACAGCACAAATGTGCATCAACTCAGGTTTTTATTTAAAACATATTTGCGTCACTGCTGCTGTTCCACATAAAGATAAACATACTTCATAGTGTAGAATTACCTATCTCTTTAAAGGCAATTAATTATAAGCTAAAGATTAGGAGGCAACACTATAAATCGGGCATTAACTTCATTATATTCGAGAACTGACATACATACATGTTTGAACGAGTTGTGCGGTGCAGGACTTGCACCAGTTTCTTCAAGATAATCATCCCAGTTGAAGTCAAGGTCCTCACCTCCAGAGCCTACATCTGTTTAAAACAAGATGATGATGAATAAGTTTACCTTATTTAAACCGAAATACCGGACAGTTACCCTTCAGCATATTATCATTTTTCTAAATTACCAACAGCACCTGAAAAAGTCCACTTATCAAAAGCAAAATTCTCCAAAGATTGTTCAGTTATGAAAACATTGAGCATAATCACCATTTTAAAAAGGGGATTGATGAATTGCGATCATTTATGGCTCGCACCTGACTGGAACTCTAAATCAAGTACAAAAACCAGCAATATTCATACATATTGTTGCCTATAAAACTGAGTTTGAAGTGGTGCAGGAAAAAAAAACTTGCACTACCATTCAGTTTAGTTGCAAGGAGGAAGAGTCATGAGCAAGGATTTAGAGTGAACTTCATATAATTTACAGTTGGAAAACAAAGAACCTCATTAAATGAAACATTTATTTAAAACACAACAATAATCTACCAAAAATGGTGAAAGAAGCAATCATTTAAAACAATTATATGTCACAATGAAATAGATAATGTACTAGTAGAATGACCTTTCCTTTAATCTCATTTTAATGGCCTGGATATTGCATTCAGCAGCAAAGCTTAATGCTTACAAAAGACCTTCAAGAACTTGACTCACAGATCTCGTGATCTTGTTGGACAAGCTACCCTACCCTGAAGGCAGCTTAAGTCTCGTGCCAACTAAATTGCATGTCCTGTAGTTGTAGTGATGTTAGCAAATCATATTGAAGTATTCGCACAGCAAACACAGAAGTTAAAAAAACCTGAACCTTTTACTTTCAATGTAAAATTTCAGATAGCAAAATAAATGACGACCTGATTAAGAAATAAGGTGAATTAAAGATAAACGATATTTTGAAAATTAACAAATGTGGTTTTGTCAGAATGAAGAAACTTAGCATTTCACAAAGAATTAATGCCTCATGATCAGTATGGAGTTACTGTCTTGTTAACAAAAGTTACAAAGTTTAAACTTTTTAAAGCTTTTACAGTGATGTCTCCATCAATTCAAATATTTCTTACTGATTGAAGTCTGAAAGCTGCCAACAATGCACTTCTGGAGAGCAGCAAAATCACCCTCAGCAACTTTGGAAGTCTGCGTGAATGCAGAAATCCGACGTTACTGTGAATTTCACTATTGTAATGACAGCAAGCACTAACAGTTTCACCACTGCTACTACAGCAAAGTCATGGCCATTATGTTCTCTTTCTACAACAATACATATTCATATAGCACTTTTAAATATAAGAAAGCATCCACCCGTGTCATGTTACAAGTTCTTTTCCCTGCTTATTAAACCAGAGCATCACAATTACCTGAAATTACATTACTCCTAATGACTTTCGGTAACATGATCCTATTTTGCTTTTTGCTGAGCATAAACTATTCACTTAGTCCTTTAGAAGTAAAATATCACATTTGTAAATGAAAAGATACCATTTTTTCCTTTGATTGTACTTCTAGAAAATAAAGAAAACATCATTATATTTTGTTGCCAGTCAAGGTAAGGTTAATGATGCTTAACAGGTCAATGTTGCAGTAATTTCAGGTAGGGTGGAGATATGTGGTCAAATTCGGCTACCTGAAATTACTGTCAAGCACGCCACTCCAGATTAACATTGTGTAAATGCCTCATTGCCTGCCTCCTCATTGATCTGTATTGGATGGTATGAGGTTGCTGTACCTGATGTATGAACTAATGTCATCACAAAGTTAAATTTATTACAAATGCAAGTATTCTTCTTTAAAGATGTTAACATTAGTTGTAAGTAACAATTTCTGGGTTAATACTCACAGATATTTAGGAGTTTTTAAAAATAACAATTTTGCTTTATATAAAAAGCTAAACATATTACTTTCACCTTGGTTTTTCCCTTTTCTTCTTTCTTTTCTTCTTCCCTACTCAATTTGACACAAACTCTGATTTTTGTTTCCTACTCAAATCCTCCCTTTGCTTATTTCTCCTCCATATTCAGCCTGCTAACTGGGGAATCACAGCCAAAAGGTGCATTAGTAAGACTAATTCACATTGTCTTAATACAGCAAAATCTGGTCTAATCTAGTTCAGCATTATTCAACAGTAAATACCTATGGATCTTCAAAAATCACAGAATGAATGCCAATCAAATAAAACTGTTCACAAGCAGAAATTGCTGGAGAGTTCTGAAGAAGGGTCACGGGACCCGAAATGTCAGCTCTGCTTTCTCTCCACAGCTGCTATTAGACCTGCTGAGTTTATTCAGCCATTTTTGTTTTTGTTTCACATTTCCAGCATCTGAAGTAATTTGTTTGATTTAAATAAAACTGTTCTTTCAGTTGATCCTTTTAAACTACTCGGAAAAGGACCAACAGAATAAAAACAATGGACATAAAAGGAGATTTAAATTTGTGACCAGGCCATGCACATTGAGATGGAGATAGGCAGCAAGCAAATTTGTATTATTCTAATGTAGGTCTAGTGAATTACACAATGCTGGGTAACTGCATACAGTCTAGGGGACCAAGCAGCATAGCACTTCTTGGAACCAGTCTTTTATATTTAAAGGGTAGTCATTCTCAAAGTGAAGCTATACTAATAAAAGGGCATGTTGTGTTAGTTCAGTGATTTCTACTGGATTGCAGGGACATTAACAGTACAGCCTATGAGGAAGCACACCCCTCCTTCTGGAATGTGCCTTTGCAAAGGAAGTCTGGAGAAAGATGGTGGTTTTTGTCAAGGTTCGCCCAGGACAGCTATGTGGCACAGGACTCTGTGTTCTATGGTCTGTTCCCGAGACACATATTGAAACAATCATCAGCTGTGTGTGGAGGACCATCAACTCGGTCAAAGACTCTCTTAGGTCTGCCTGAAACTTGTTGGTCTTCCACAGCAAGGAGTTGACCCCAACTGAGTGTTGCAGACTGGCACATTCCAAGGTCCAAGACTGTGCTGAGGGACACACTAAATTTTGGGACAACTGCCACCAAGGTGCAGTGGGGAAAGGCCACTGTCCAAGGACTTTAAGCCGAAGTTAATTGGGGGTCTGTTCAGTTATCAAACCACTCCCCCATTCCCCTACCCCGCCATGCCTCAAATATATGTAAATATAGTCTTGTACAAGAAAGAAATACTTGGATTATTTGTTGGATAGAGTCAAACTCCATTGATTGTTTTCTTTCTTCATATGCTACTCTAAAGAACCAAACTGCTTAAATGACTGTGCCTAGAGATATTGTTAATTAAGTGCCATTTTGAAAAACGAAAAAGCACATGTATTTGCCCCACAGCAAATTTCCACAAATAACAATTGAATAATATTAACCAAACAATCTGTATTTTTGTGATGCTGATTAAGGCATAAACAGAGTCAGAGTCAGACTCAAAACATTAACTTGGCTTTCTTTGAACGTACGCTGCTATAACTGCTGAGTTTCTCCAGCAGTGTAACTAAAACAAAAATTGCTAAGTGGACTGTGGAAGCTGATTCAATAATGACCTTTAAAGATTCAATTGGACTTTCAAAAAGGGATATAGAATTGGTGGCATAGACGTAATGCCACTACAGTAGTAATCCAGAGGCCCAGGTAAATGCTCCGAGGATATAGGTTAAAATCCTACTACTATAACAACTAGTGGAACTCAAATTCAATTAATAAAACTGAAAATGGTGATAATGAAGCTATATTACATTGAACATGAAACATTTGTGTTGCAAGATCCCATCTAGTTTACAGATGTCCTTAGAGAAGGAAATCTGCCATCTTTACCAGATTTGGGCGACACATGAACTTTCAGACCCACAGAAGTGTGGTTACCTCTTAACTACCCTCCAAAAATGGCCGAACACGCCACTCAGTTCAAGGGCAATTAGGGATGGGGAACAAACATTGGACTCACCACTGACACTATCATACAACGAGAGAGACTTTTTTAAAAATAGGCATACATTTAAAAAGAAACTTTTTGCAGAGTTCTAAGAAACGAGTAGGGAAGTGGCCACAAGTACGAAGGAATGAATGGCCTTCTTCTGGTCTAATTGGTTAAGAAGCACTTTGCAGTTTTGCCTGATTCAGAATCAGGAACCACGTCTGAGAAAAGCATGTAAAAGAAATCAATAAAACCTATAGAATCCAAGAACCAGATTTTCATAGGCCAATGGGTTTGGGATCAGAGGCAAGCAGACTGGTCGGCCCAAAAAGTTTCCTACCGTAAGAGGCAGATTGCCAAAGCCGAATAAAGCCCTTCCCCCAAGCCATCTGAAATTTTCCAGATAGCACGTGGGATCCCTGCAGTGATGGATAGTGACCTCCCATTAGAAGACCCGGGCAATGAGTAGTTTTTTTTTAAAAAATGTACAACCAACAACACAGTGACCCCTGCCATGCCCTAACAGCACAGTAGTAATACTATAATGGCCACAGCAGTGGTTGCACTCTCCAGAAGAATAACATGGCAGCTGTAGCCTCTATCAGATTTTACATTCTTGAAAAGTGTTCATCATGATATGCCCGCTCTTTATCCCCTAATGCACAACAGTAACTCCCACCTCAGATTACAGGGCTGTCAATGGATCATTTACTTCTACTGGCCCTCCAGCCTCACAAGCCTCAAAAAGGGTAAAGAGCACTGCCTTATTCAGGGAGATACTAAAGGGCCAGAATATTTCACAAGCAAGAGGGGCTCCTAATGCCTTCTTTTTTTTTCAAATACTGCTGAGAAGTGCATGGGGCTGTGGTTTTAAAAGAAAAGTTTTAAAAAGTGCCATATTAAAACATCGCTCCCAGGTACCCCATCTTGAAGTTCTACTCTTCTCCCCAACAAGATTTCCATTTTAATCTTTCACTGTTATTGCTTTCTATCTACCTCCTAATGTTTGAGAATGGGTTTGCTTATTTAAAACAAAAATCACTTTCACCGCCACATCTCCTTCCTCGGTGACTGTCATCGGTTTTGCCTTAATCGCTGAAGGTCTATCCTTTATGTTGCAAACCCAACCAGGATTAGTTATTTCTGAGAT